TGTTTAGCCCTCTTATGTTCCAAGTACTAATGATCATGGTGGGTGTTGTATGGGGTCAGAAGTCAAACCCCCTCCCTGTGCAGATGTTTGTCCATATTCTTCGATTACTCTAAATCTATTAGCATTGCTAACTTCATCAATTTTACCCTGCTGATCTATTGAAGTATTCTGTCTTTCAGTGTCATCATCTCTGTGTATCATCATTCTTCTTTGATCTGTATCAACTTCAGAGTTCTGTTCCCCTTTATCACCTTCTATTGGAGGTTGAATTTCAGTCACCTCACCATTCCTCTCATCCTGTTCCTGTTGATATTTTGGCTTCCATTCCTGAACAACTCTCCTTCTTCTGCCTCTATTTCTTCTCTTAGGAGCTTTGAATTCAGCATCTTCTTCTTGCTTAATTAGCTTCCAGCATTCAAAAACATCATGCCCAAAATGCAAACATTCATTGCAGAATTTTGGCTTCCACTCATATAGAATTTCCTGCTGTTTAACACCATTGGGAGTCACAATTTCAACATTCTCTACTAATGGCTTTGTTATGTCCACTTTCACTAGCACTCTTGCATAAGAGATTTTGTTCAATTCAGCTGTGTATTTGTCTGTGTACATTGGCATACCAACAGCACCGGCAACCTTGCTTAGAGCATCAGCAGTCCAATACCCAACCGATAAACTAGGAAAGTGAATCCACAGTGGAATAGTAGTGATACATTTAGGATCAAAATGGAAGCCTCTCCCAATTCTGTAAGATAAATGGCTTGTTATGATATGTGTATGGTCCTGCTTGAACAACTGTATCTCTATCCTCCATAGTTGTGAATCGAAAAACATAATAGCCATCATGGTGATATAGAATTTGGGGCTTGGATACAAAATCCCAAACTGTTTCTACATAACTCACCATAGATTTCTCATACGGAGTATCTCCCAATACATACCTAATTAGAGCAGTTTCCCAATATTCCTTCAACTCACTCACATCATCTTCCTCTATTTGAATGACCACTTTGCCATCCCTGTGACTTGGTGGAACATATTCCAATCTCATCCCCATCTGAGAGTTTCGATTCTGTTGTCGAAGTTCCTTTGCATGAACTGTCTTCTTCACCCCTATCTCTGCAGTTGTTGCAAGATCTGGATCCAGAGTTGGCTTTGAAGATCCAGCCTCAGAGAATTGTAGTCGTTTTGGACTTGTTGGCAGTTGATCCTTATACTTCTGAGCTTCCTTTGCTGAATTTTCAATTTTACTATTCCATTGGTTACTGTTCCTCTCTTCTGTTCCATTTAGCTCGCTTTCCTCACCAATTGGTTGAAAACTAGCTGGTAAGAAACTTTCAAACGTTAACGGAGTGATAGTCTGCATCGTCGAGTTCACCGGCGTTGTAGCAGCGGTCGCCGGAGCTACTTGCTTGCGTCTCCAAGCCATCAGTGGTGCACGTTAGCCTGCCTTGGCTTATTGTGCACCGAGAGCATCGAAGAGCCTCCTGTTGTCCCTTTTAAGTAGGATATAGTAGTTGTATTTTTTATTCTTTACTGCAACTTGAAAATTATTTTGATAAGTGGTCCGCTCAAATATTTGCAGGGTATAAAATGGTTAAAGTTGACTTACTCTTCAATTATGGTGGTGATTGGATAAGAGAACCACATCTACTATACTCTAAGAAATTGGTTCACACTTGGCCTGGGTATGATTATGATCTTTTATCTTTTATTGACATAGTAAATGAGTACACTACAGAGTTAGGATTTGTAGGTATTCAGCAGCTTATTGTAACTGATCCTTCTAGAAAATACTATGAAATAGAGGGGAATGATAGGATTAGGAAGTTATTTTTCCTTGTTTCTGAAGAGTATCGTATCATTAACATATACGCAGTAGATGAATGTGAGCCTTCTGTAGAAGTTCCCAATATTGTCCAACATACTGAACTATTTTTTTCTGTAGTTAATGAGGTTGGTACTGATTGTACTGAGAATGAGAGTGAGAGTGACTTGTGAAGCTGGTTCTGATTGTCCAGAATATGACTCTGAAGAGTTGGAGTCAATTGCTACTCAAAAGAAAAGAAAGATTACTGTGGGTCTAGAAGATTACAAAGAATTATTTAAGGATATGTCCTTCAAGGACATACCAGAAGCAAGGAAGTGCATTAAACTTTATTGTTTGGCCAATAAGGTAGAGTTAGAGATTGTTAAAAGTGATAAGCATAGGTTGAGATATGAATGTATTCCAGGGTGTCCATTTGTATGTCATATTTCTGAGGAAAAAGGTTCTCCTGGAGTGAAAATCAAAACTCTAAATCCTGAACATGAGTGTGGTCCATCATATGACAACTCTAGGGTTGATTAAACTACTATAGCTCATTATTTCAAGAAAAAATTACAAGATAATCCAAAGTTTAAGGTAAAGGAAATGAGGGCTGATTTAAAAGAAGCTTTTGAGTTAAATGCTAGTAAAAGGAAGTGCAAGAGAGCTAAAAGGATGGTTTTGGAAATTTTAGAGGGGAGCTTTACAGATGGTTACAAGAAATTAGAGGCTTATGCCAATGAACTTAGAGACTCAAATTCAGCAAGTGATGTTGTAATCAATCTGTCTAAAGAGGCATTTGCCGAAGGTAAAAGAAAATTTCTTAGAATGTATATTTGCTTTCAAGGCAATGAAGATGGGATTTAAGGAAGGTTTGAGACCCTTCATTGGATCAGATGGTACATTTCTTAAGGGAAAAGCCAAGGGACAATTACTGGTCGCTGCTGGTCAAGATAATATGAACTACTTTTATCCTTTAGCTTGGGCAATTGTAGATAAAGAGACAAAAAGAACTTGAAATTGGTTCTTGGGGATATTGCAACATTCGTTGGAACTCTAGATGGGAGAAGGCATAACATTCATGTCGGATATGCAAAAGGCACTTTATTTCTGTTTCAAATAATTTCAATTTCTGTTTCTGTTTAGTGCTGTTTCAGTTTCAAAACAGTTCTGTTTCTGTTTCTGTTAAGTGTTGTTTAGTTCTGTTTCAGTTTGTAAAAATTCTGTTTTTGTTTCTGCTATTTCAGTTTAACTTATTTCTATTAAGTGCTGTTTAGTTCTGTTTCAGTTTGTAAAAATTCTATTTTTGCTGTAAACTAGTTTCTGTTTCTGCTGTAATAAGTTTCATATGTAAACATTTCTGCTGTAAACACTTTTGCTGTTTTCATTTCTACTGTTTCTGTTTCATAGTTCTGCTGTAATAAGTTTCTGTTTTTGTTTCATATGTAAATTAGTTTCTGTATCTGTTTTTGTTTCTGCTGTAAACATTAATTGTTTACATTCCATATGTAGGGATTAATTGATGCAATCAACACTGTACTCCCTGAAGCACACCATAGATTTTGTGTCAGACACATAGAGTCAAACTGGTGCAAAAGATGGAGTAAAGGTGGTGGGGTGTTGAAAAAGCTACTATGGTGGAGTGCATGGAGTAGTTATGAGGAGGAATTCCAGGATCAACTGAACCATATAGGACAGCTTGATGAACCTGCTGCAAAGGATTTGTTGAGATATCCTCCACAGTGTTGGTGCAGAGCCTACTTTGATACAAGGTGCAAAAATCAAACAGTTGATAATAATCTAACTTAATCATTTAATGCCTGGATACTTGAAGAAAGGTACAAGCCTATCATTGGGATGCTCGAGGGTATAAGGATCAAAGTGATGAATCAATTGAGAGAACATAAAGATTCTGTGACTAAATGGAGTGGTGAATTCAGTCCTAAAACAATGAAGAAGACATTAATCTATCAACCCCCCAACACTCACAAGATAGTCAAAGCAACACTTGTGTATTCATGCCTACTCCAGGATTGCAAAACAGTAGGGGTTCATTTCCAGACTTTGAGAACCCCTGCTCTGAGCATGAGCATGAGGCAGACCCTGGTTTAAGGCCCATGGTTATCTCAGAAACACTTACTAGACTCCAAAGAGGCAGCAAAAACTTATACCAACTGGGACCAGGCAAATTAGCTTCAGAGGTAACCATACATGAGCTAGTATTCCAACAAATCTTTCATATACACTAGACAACTTAATGTGGAAGGGCAAAGCTGCTATGACTACAAATCAATTGGAAGTTGAACGTCAAAAAAGGATTGGAAAGTTGAAGCCAAAGAAGGGATATTTTCAGTAGTTTATTACTGTTTAAGACTGTTTTATTTTGTAACTACTGCTTATGATAGTACTCTTTTGGTTAATTTGCACTAGTTTGTGTTTTGGTTGGTTCATTTGGTGATGTATTTACTACTTATGACAGTACTCTTTTGTAATTATTGCATATGACAGTACTCTTTTGGTTAATTACTGATTAGGTTCTGGACTAGCAGCTTCTGGACTATTTATTTACTACTCTGGTTAATTTGGTCTAGGAGTACTATGTAACTTGTTATGTGTAATTCTAATTCGAGTAATGCCAGAACCTTTGTGACCAGCATCACATTTAAGGGATCAAGAAATATCTTGTTATAAAAGTGATTGATATGCTTTATTCTTGTGATGTAACATTGTTGCATTAATTAAAGTTGAATGTGACCTGCTCATTTGAACTCCTCATCAGATCTTTTCTTGTTATGTATTTGAAAGAAACGGAAATGGAAGGATACAATTACAAAAAATTCAAGCTTTTGTGAACAAACATATCATGCAAGCCTTTCTTAATATCTTGTTTAGCGTACAAAAGTGATTGGAATGCTTTATTCTTGTAATGTAGCAGCTAGCAATATCGTATTTGAACTTCCCATCAAATCTTTTCTTGTTAAAGTAGATCATCTGCAGTATTGAAGGAAACAATATGTACTTGTGAAATTCAAAGCATTATATAGCCATACTTCATAGAACTTACAGAAAATTTGTTTGCCAGAACTGGTGTATAGCCTTAAACACAGCCTTCAAACATAGATTAAACTGGTGCAAAACACAAATTAAAACAGCCTCAAAATTAAAGATATGGGAGTCAAAACAGCTTCAAAACACTGATTTCATACAACCTAACTTGAGAACTCAAAACACAGCCTTCAAACTAATATTGCAAAGACTTGAGAATTCATACAACCTAACAAACTACATCACTTCAACAATAATGCGACAATAAATCCAACAAACATCGCACAAAAAATCATAATAAACATCTTCAACTTCATAAATTTCTCTTCTAATTCCCTTGCTTTGTTCACTTGGGAATTGTTTATAGCCTCCATAGTCTTCACCTTTTCCTTTAACTTATCTCTTTCAATCTTAACTGCATCCAACGACGTACTCAAAGTATTGATTTTGACCGTACTTGCATCCAATTGAGCCTTTAGATTACTTATCACCACCAATGCTCTATCGGGGAATACTTCGTCATGCCACTCCCAATATCCACAAGAATTGGCCTGCCCAAAAAAAAATTAGAATTTTGAATTATCAACTATTAAATCCATGAGGGAAACCAAAATTTTTTTCATATAAAAGAAATAACACATTTAATCATAGTACTTACTTCAGGCTTAGGACACTTATAAAATCTCCTTATAGGGTTAAAAGAAGTTTTTGAAGTGAATAAGTGAGCAATTTCACCGCAATGACACCGCCTCTTGGACGAGCAACTACTTTCTGACATTATCAACTTCTTTGCAGATTAAAATATGATCTTGCCAAGGAAAATTAAAAGAAATAAGATAAAAGTGACTTTAAGAATCACATAAACGAACTGAAAGAACCCAGAAATTGAAATATGAGGAACCCTAGTTATGGGATTTGGGGATCTGTTTTAACGAGGGGAGAAGGGTAAGGAGAAGGGTGTATTTCGTGTGTGTGTTTCTTCCGTAGATTTTAAGGTGGGTTGGGTTTTAATTGGGTCGGATTAGGGGTTTAAGTGGGTAGCGGATCGGGTATAAAATAAAATGGGAAGTTTTATTCAGGAGCTGCCACGTGGCACTCCGTCCAAATTAAGGGCAATAATGCTACAAAGTATGACGGTAGGGGTATGGATAGCCCAATAGTATAACGAAGGGTACAAGTAAACAATATTTGAAAGTAGAGGGGTATATTTGGCCCTTAAGAAATTAACAATATAAACATTTTGAACACTATTAGTGAATAAATTTAAATCCTAGACTAAAATTATTATTTATCTAATTTTACTACTTTCAAGAATTAAAATTCATTAATTTTTAAAAAATTTAAACTTCGGTGGTGTGTTCTTTAACGAATTAATATCTTGATGTCATTTTTGAGATTTACTTATACTACTATTAAGTGAAAGACTCTCATAGATGTCTTGAAGCAACAGTAAAGTCGCGAAAAAGAGTCTTGAAGCAACAGTAAAATTGTCTCCAAGTGATTTATAGGTCACCGGCTCGAGCCGTAAAAGCAGTGACTAATGCTTGCATTAGGGTAAACTCTTTACATCACACATCTTGAGATGCGATCCTTTCCTGGACCCTGGATACCTTGTATATCAGACTGTCTTTTTTGTACTTTTATAAATGGACAAAGGGATGAATAAACTCATTATTAAGCGCGTTACTATCTAAATAACAATATTTTGAACAATTTGCTAATATAGTATTTCATAGCTCCAAGCAGATGTGTTCTTTTAAATGGAGGAAAGAGATATCCCACTAAATTCCAAATAGGGATATAGTTGTTTAAAAATAATACAACACATTTTCTAATTCAAAGGTCAAAATTGTACAACTGCATGTTATGAATATATTTTTGTCTTTCCACACTCCTTTCCAAAACCATCTTTCCTATTGACTCATAACAATTTCTTGGAAATTTCACTTTCTTTTAACAACTTTCCATTCCTCCTACTCCTAACCTTAACATATAGTATAAACATTTATATTAAGCCTTATTTCATTCATATTCAAGAAAATTAAACCGCGGTGTATTGTTGTCAACTCAACTATATAGTCGCACGTACCAGCAACAAGACGACTATCTAAATTTCCAATGGGCAATTCATTAGCATGTTTTTCTGAGAAAAATCAAGCTACAAAAGTTAGAAAACACAACAAAAATGGAAGATCATTCAATGGTAATGTTCCTCCTCCATGTATCTCAAGATCAACTAGTCGAAAATCGGATAGAATTTATCCAAATTCTTTGAGATTTGATCAGGGGAAATGTGATGATGATTTTATTAGAGAACAAGCTCGAGTTGCTGCAGCTTTGTTACTACAACATCATCAACAAAATGGAACACTTAGTCAATTTGAACGTTCAGTTTCTCTTAGAGACAATTTAACTTCCTCTAGGAAGCAAAATAGGATTCCTAGAAGCTCGAGTTGTCGTGCCAGATCTCTATCTGATTCAATTCCTCAGCATCTGGAGCTTCTTCATCAGGTTTGTCTTTCTAAAGTTTGCTCCAAATTATTGTTAATTTACACTTTTTAAGGGTCAGGCGGACCTAGGATCTGAAGGTCGTAGGTGTACTTTTAGATTCAACCAAAATCTGCTTTGTATATAGGGTGCACACTACTAATATATCGATATTTTTAAAAAATATATACTTATATACATAAAAAATTTACCGAACTTTACGGGTGCCGGTGAACCCTCTTTGTAAAATGGATAGGTCCGCCTCTTTTCATGTATGGTAAATATTTACATGGATGATTGTTTATTTTCTATCATTTGTATTTTCTAGGCCAGAAATATGAACTTCGGGTCATTTGTATTCTCTGAGTAATTCACACATAGGTCAGTTACTTTAATGTGACAAAAAATATTTCAGTGATTTTAGTGTTATAGCGGATAAAAGTCAGTTGCTTTAACGCAATAAAAAAAAATAGTTTTGTGACTTTACTGTACTAGGTTAGAGAATAAAGTTCAGTAACCATACCTGAAATTAGCTCCAATATGCTAAATGACAATCAGAAACTGGGCATCCCGGTGCATGAGATCCAGGGAAGGGCCGCACACTAAGAGGGTATGATGTACGCACCCTACCTGATGCAAGCACTAGTGGTTGATTCCACGGCTCGAATCTGTGACCTATAGATGGAGACAATTATACCGTTGCTCCAAAGCTCCCCTTCAAATGACAATCAGAAACTACATGAATAATAATGTAGGATGAAGAAGACTTCCCCTCAAAATATCCAGAAGTAGTTTAGCTATAGTTCAATGTAGAAAGGTGACTCTTTGAAATGTGAAGAGTAATAAAAAAGAAAATTTTCTACATTGTTTTATATGCAGTAGTATTTCTGGGCAGTATACATAGAATAGATATATGATAACATGTTTTTGATCTTTTTCAGGGTACAAATGTTGAAAATTTGAAGAATAAACATTTTGTTCTTGTACATGGAGGTGGTTTTGGTGCATGGTGTTGGTACAAAACTACAACACTTCTCAAAGAAGCTGGATATCAAGTTGATGCTATAGACTTAACTGGTTCTGGTGCACATTTCTTTGACTCCAACAACATTACTACTCTGTCCCAATATGTAAAACCTCTCACTGATTTCCTTGAAAATCTCGGCGACGATAAGAAGGTTCGATATCTTGGTTTCAGTTTTCTTAATATCTTGTTTGCTGTCAGTGATTCTTTCATCTTTTCTTTAGCTGAGGATTTATCGGAAACAATCTCTCTGCCCTCCTAGGGTACGGGTAAGGCTGCGTACATCTTACTCTCCCAGACCCCACCCGTGGGAATCCACTGAATTGTTGTTGTTGTTGTAAGTTCAGATATTGAAAAAAAAATTGATCTTTTTTTACGCAGGTCATATTAGTCGGACACGATATAGGGGGAGCTTGTATTTCTTATGCAATGGAGTTGTATCCATCAAAAGTTTCTGCAGCAATTTTTGTTGCTGCAGCAATGCTTAAGAATGGACAGAACATACTCGACATGTTCTCCGTACAGGTTGGTTATATTAGTTATATGCATGATTTTATACCATAAACCAAACACAGTATAATAGATACAGAAGTTTATACGAAGATTAAATTTGCTAATTTGCAGCTTGGACTGAACAATCTATGTCAACGCGCACAAGTTTTTCGCTATGCAAATGGGAAGAATGAGCCTCCAACTGCTATAGATTATGACAAGTCATTACTCAAAGAAGTATTGTTCAATCAAACCCCAACTAAGGTATTGATTGAGTTATATACATTGTGAAAGAAACATTTATGTATTTCTCTGATCCAATGTTATGCTGCGACTATGCTGGCCTCAGCCGTGGGTCTTTTGAAAATAGCCTCTCTACCTGCACAAGGTAGGGGTAAGGTCTGCGTACACACTATACTCTTCAGACCCCACTTGTGAGATTCCACTGGGTTTGTTGTTGTTGTTGTTGTTGTTGTTGTTGTTGTTTCTGTTCCAATTTTGTCTCATTGTGAGAGAGAAAGGTGTTTTTATTTTGACATTTTGCTCTTAATTTCAGGATGTTGAATTAGCATCAGTATCAATGAGACAAGTTCCCTTTGGACCATTGACAGAAAAGCTTTCACTTTCTGCAACAAATTATGGTTCTATTCCAAGATTCTATGTCAAAACACAAGATGATTTTGCAATTCCTGCATCTCTACAAGAAGTTATGATAGATTCAAATCAACCTGAACAAGTTTTCCAGATTAAAGGGTCCGATCATTCGCCCTTTTTGTCGAAACCTCAATCTCTCCACAAGATTTTAGTAGAAATTTCCAACATTCCTCCAAAAATGAATCTCAAAACTACCATCTAAATAAAGATGTATAATAGCCAATATGATTCTTTTTCCATGTCATATTCCTATGTATGTACATAATATAATGATCATCACACATATATAGCATGAAATCATTTTTGTAAAATTCCCAATTTTCATTATATTCTTTCTTTTTTTCGAGAAGGGGAGCCTTGGCGTAACCGGTAAAGTTGCTGCCATGTGACTAGGAGGTCACGGGTTCGAGCCGTGGAAACAGCCTCTTGGAGAAATGCAAGGTAAGACTGTGTATGATAGACCTTTGTGGTCTGGCCCTTCCCTGGACCCCGCGCATAGCGTGAGCTTAGTGCACTTCTCCAAGAGGCTTATCAAGAATGAAAAGTGAGAAAAGTCTGTCTTATGTAACTCTGTAACACTTATTGTTTGATCATATTATCTAATGAGTATAGGACGAATGATTCATATAGCGGATCCCAACTTTTGTATCGTTGCGAAGAAACATACCATCTTTTATTCATATTACTACATTAGTTTGAAAATGTTCTAACGAGGAAAACAATCATGATAACACGCGCAAAGGCGAATAGCAGAGCCAGGAATTTTTTCACAATAAGCAACAGGATGAAGTCCATTGTAGTCATTAAGACACTGCCTCCAGCAACAATCTTTGTTGCAGTACTTCTGGTTGCAGGGACCTAACTGAGCCAAACACTGATATTGTGGCTTGCCGTGTGATTCAGGTAATATTTTACGAACTTCTCCCTCTTCACCTACTCGTGTGGGCGCTTTCGCCATGTTGGTAGCTGCTACTTTACCTATGAAGAAAAATAAAAAATTCATTAGCTAACCATAAGATGAATAAGGTCACAAGAGTGAGATGAGTTAGCTCAACTAGTGTAATGTTCAAAACCGGATTTGAAACGGGTTTCTGTGGCTTCAAATAAATTCATTGTTTCAGCTTGAGCTATATATAGATGTATGAAAAAAATATTATTTGCTATACATATAATAAAATCATATTCATTTTGAATCTATTAGTTCAAGGTCATGCATGTATTCACCTCTAAGAGTGAATATAAAAATAATCTTTTTTCTTTTTTTCGCTTAGTCGTTCTAACAAATAACAACCTACAATAATCATCGTTAAAATTGTAAAAAGAGCAGTCCGATGCACAAAGCATCCCGTATTCACGCAGGATCCGGGAAAGGCATGCATCCCTAGGGGAGTATGTAGACAGTCTACTCTAATGCAAGTATCATTGTTAAAATTGTTGTTATGAAAAAAATTAAAAACAAAGAATGAAGGCAAGAGAATATATAAAAATGTATATCACCTGATGGAAAAATGAGAAATAGGAAAATGAAAAGAGTTGGTGAAATCACTGCCATTTTTCTTTGAGTATTAATATAAAGATCCTTTTTCAAGCTGGAAGTTTGGTTGAGAGGTTGCAATTTCACTTTGCTTTATATATTCCACAAATTGTTAGACTCCCTTTTTGATTTATGTTAATTAATATTCATTATGGAAAGTATCAACCATATCCAAAATTGAAAAAGAAAATATCCTTAGAAAAGTGATAAAAATAAAAAATTACTGAATTCTAACAGAGTTCACACAAAATATGGCAAGTTTATTTTTCTTTTTTGTGCAGGTTCAATGTTGAGTTGGCATGTTTGTGTTATTAGGCAGAAGGTGAAGATAAATGGAGATTAATTTAGATTTTAATTCTCAAACTGAAGATACTTAAGAATTAATGACTAATTCCTTGCTCTTTAAACCTGAGATTTTTGCCTCTAAAAGATAATGATTAGTGTAACATCTTGATAAGTACTTATTATATTTTCAAGTATATAATGCTAGCATTCATAACCCTATTGAGGAGTAAAGGAGAGTTACAATAAAAATTTATCCACGCCCATGTTTATGTCAATTGAATGATTGCATGCATTGCTATGACTAAAACATAATTAATCAATATTTTTACCTCATTTTTATATTTGACTCTAATAAATTGACGCAGTAAAATTTGCCCCACCAAACGTTTACAGTAATCCAATAATTAATGACATATATCTTTATATGTTACAAAACTTAGCTCAAAGTAACAATATAGAACAATAAAATAGACAACAATGTAGAGAGAAAGAGAGGAGAGAATCTTATTTCTTTTATGTATTCAAGTGTGTACAATGTGATGCCCAAACCCTTTATTTATAGGATGATATAGGTAATACAAAGGGACTCCATAAACATGGTATTAACTATTGAGAACATGGGTGAAGATCATGGAGGTGTGGGAGTTACATCCTTAATGGTAAGAAGTAGTGGGAGGTTAATGGAGAAGAGTAGTGGGTGTTACTCCCTTAGGAGTTATGGACAGCCACCATAATCAAGTATTTCATAACACTCCCCCTTGGATGTCCAAAGATAATGTGCCTCGTTAAAACCTTACTAGGAAATAACCCTATGGGAAAAAAAATTCCTAGTGAAGGAAAAAGAGTACACATATCTGTAATACGCTTTATTTGTTGCCTCGTTAAAAACCTTGCTAGGAAAACCCAGTGGGATAAAACCTTAGCTAAGGGAAAAAGAGTACAACACATATTTGCCTCCCCCTGATGAAAATATCACGACGAATTCCAAGCTTGTCTAACAACTTCTCTAATATTGAGATCGGCAATGCCTTGGTGAATTATTCCGCCAAATTATCTCTTGAACGAATTTCTTGAACATCTATTTCATCATTTTGTTGAAGATCGTGTCTGACAAAGAACTTTGATGAAATATATGATTTATTCAGTCTCCTTCAATATTCTTCTTTCAATTGAGATAAGCAAACATCTGCTTCTTCATTATTATTGGAATCTTCTCTTCAAAGAAAAGTCACACATCTTGTGAAATGATAATATGACAATTCCTCACATACAAATAGATTGTTTGAAGAACGGACTTCAATAAATGCCTGCATTTGCATAAACAACAAAACCTTGACAATATTTGTTAGGATAAACAAATCTATATCAAGGATTCTTTTTGCAATATAATACTAATCATATTTCAATATCTCCATATAGCCTTTATACTCTCAGCTGTTGGGACTATTCGTCCAAACTTCATATTTTTCAGATGAAGTCAATTTTCATTGCATATTTTTCATTTGGCCAATCATTTATCTGTCCAAATTCCATGACAGATTTGAGCTCAAGATCCTTGTCAATATTAATAATATTGAGCGCTACATTATATTAACAACATCATCGATGATCATTTTACATCGGTTCCATCATCGCACAATAAAGACATAACTTATTGAGATCTCATTATTTTCAGGTACCTGAGCCTCTCCCATGAGGTCTTATAAAGTGTTATGCCACGGTGCTCTTATAGAGCACTTGCCTCCTTATTATGACCATCTTGAACATATGCTCCTCTCCTTCTTCAAGGAGTTTTATCTTTGGAACCGATTAGTCTATTACGCTTCATGCGTTCCACAGACTATGTCCATCATGGACTTTATTCTATTTGGAACATTAACAGCTGAAATATGACATTTAGCTTTGGGTCATCAAATGCGTCTGACAATATTTTGGAAATGAATTATCACTTGAACTTCAAATTCACATTTTCTTGTACGAGGATCTAGGTATACTCATAATTATTCATTCCATGTATTACTTTTTTCAGCTGCTCATTTTCTCTCCCTAATGTTGGGATCACCAACACAATTCCCAACTTTCTTTGGGAACCCATCTTTGTGCAATGTGACAGCACAATTAAATCATATAGCACATCCATATTTCTACATGAAAATATTTGGTTCCTGACCCTGAACCAATTGTGATGGGGAGAATTTATCATAACTTGTTGGCTAGATGCGTACAAGTGCTCTTGTATATTAAACAATATACCTCATACCAAATTTCGATTTGGGAGTTTTATTCTCATAACCAATGGTTTAGTTTAATTGGAGGCATACAATTTCTGCTAAACCAACTTGGATTTAAACCAGCATTATCAAGATAAATTATCATAATATATATTCTAGAACTGTGCTCTAATAATTTGAGCAAACAACCTTGCAAAAACCAAAGTGCAAGTTGATAACAAACGCACATGTGACCATACAATAGATGTATCTATTAAAATCATATAATAGTAAACGGTCCACATGGCAGGTGACTGGGCCCATATATATATCACCTTTTATACGTTCCAAAAATCAGATAATACAATCTCAACCCCAGCTGGTATAGTAATCAATTTATCATGAGAACAAGTCATACATGAGAATTCTCGAAGAATCTCCTTATTCTTCAATTTATGTCAATGTGAATTCTCAATCATTTTTTCGCATCATAATTGAACCGGGATGGCCAACCGGTCATGCCAACTGATATTTGTTTCAGTAAACATTTAATTTACTATGGCATGTGATTTTATCATCATGCTTATACATCTGTAGTACAAATAGAAGAAAAATCAGGTAACCTTCATATTTACCCGGTATATTATAGTAATATGAAGATAATCGATCTTCCTTTCATTTATAGTCTCAATATGCCAACCACTTTGGCTAATACATTTGAAACTCAAAAAGTTTCTTTTGAGACTTACTACCACCAATGCCATAAATAATTTTATTTATTCGGGTAGTAACAAATTCGCTCTTCTGGAGCTCTCAATAATTTTGCACTACAAGATCTTTTGTAACAACATCCAAGTGGTGAATTTTTTCTCCACAGAAAATATTATCTTATCATAATAATTGTCATGGTCAACATCATCATAAGCAAAATCTTTTCTTGCTTTAATTTTGCCTTTAATTAATTTTTATAAGGCATGGCAAAATATTTTCGGCGTACCACATGTACACGACCAATGACATATTCGTATAACCACATAGTAATGTTCATGATCTTTCTTTCTCTCAAACCTCCCGTAGATGTGAGTTGTAGTATTTATTCAATCATGCATAAATACATTCTTGTGCATAATTTGTATCACATATATATTTTCACACTCACTTCAGGAATGAGTCTGCATTTACAATGCTTATCACAAGTCGCATACTTTCAATAAAATGGTCTATAATCGTCTGAGCGTGCCTCATATTTACAGACCATATTGATACGCAATTCCTTCACCTTTGAAGGATTATTTTGAGAACCCTTATTGTTCTCCTTTTATAATTACCATAATGATGACTATTATTATTTTGGTCTTTGGCACGCCCACGTTCATTAGTCAACCACTTGTCTTCATTTAGATTTATTATGCACCGCTATCACATTCACTTCAAGAATGGAGCAAATCAAGTGGGACAAGCTTCATGCTTTTTCATGAAAAATACATTATTTTCATTAGTCATCATTATATCATCAATATGGTGCATTAGGACTCAAACCCAATGCCTTACCCATATAAAGGCGTGCGTGTAAGGCTATAATGCGTTGGGACTCAAACCCAACTCTTATCATCATGGTGCACCAGGACTCAAACCCGGTGTCTTATTCTCGTGGTGCGTTGGGACTTGAACCCACCGTCTTACCCTCAGTAAATGACATAATAGGCTAAAGTGAGCCTTGAACCCATTGATTAGCTCTACCATGATGGACATCACTCTGGATCAATGAATTTTCTTTACCACCAAATCTTTACATTTTCTGTCTTGTTATTAATTTCTGTTTTATTACACACATATACAAATAGGGAGGTGTCATGCCATAGAGTACATCATAATAAACATCTATATATTAAAATATATAGAAATTTATGTATATATTTATTGAAATAGAAAACTATTAGCTGAAAGAAACAATCCAAGAAGAATATACTGTCTCGTAAAATAAAGAGTGACTAGTACTGTTACTAGTATATTCAAGTTTCAGAAAGTTAATAAGAAGCAAGAATATCTTGCTCGATAGTTTACATATTCCAATAGGCTAACTATCTATAGAACATAATGATATCGCTATGGCCAAGTTCCAGCAAAGTCACGTTACTTCTAATATTTTAAACTTTTGCTTTTAAAGTCATTAGTTCATATAATTAAATGAAGAATTCAATGAAGCCAGTAAACAACAACAAGGAAAGAATTAATTAGTTTAACAACTATTATGATCAAACACATATACTTTCGTGAAATTAAAAGGCCATGAGGATTGTACCAAAGTATAAATTATTTCACAGTTTCTAATGGAACTAAGCTCCAAAGTTAAAAAATCGTACCGGATTTCCACACCATAAGATGGAGTAAAATGATACAATGTGACTTACTTGGAATATTATCCTTGTCCGATAAGAGATGTAGCAAATAAAAACATATCTTTCCAGTTACTTATTTCACTGGATACAAAAAGAAAAAACCTTTCAATTGACAATTGCACATAAAGTTATGCAAAAATACAAAAGAGTGAGTGGGGTTTAGAAGAATGAAAAACTTATCTTTGCATTATCATCCAAGACATTTTTCATTATACTTAACCTCATGTCTGCTTATAATTCGAATTTACCAACAATATAAAAT